CGTTTCAGCCCCGGCGAGGATGTGTAGCAGGATATTGGGTTGTCTTCTCGTTACCGGTAATAGATCTCGTCTAGACCCAAGAGCTTTCCTAAAGACGTGGGCGGGTGTGATACAATGTGTGTGTAATTCAAGATAATTTAATTCAATACATGTAACATTCAAATTCGAACAATGTTACTACCCACTAGCCCAAATACCAATTGATAGACAAAAAAACAGTAGCTTTCAGAATGTAAAATATCCACACAATATAAGCAAAATCACCGCGCGGGCGCCCCCAAGTTTAACAATAAAGAAGCTATTTAACAAACAAATGCAACTCAGTGAAACCAATCTGATCAGAATTGGTACATATTCGTTTCTACTAATCATATAACAACTAACTATATATCACATAACATGGGCACGAACTATCCCATCATAGTCAAAAAAACATTCACTAATCATTAATTGGCCTAGATTCATTGCAACTGCCGTCTTCCGCAAACTTACTGATTTTGGTAGCATTCCGGAAATGAATTAGATTTCTAGTCTGCCTGAAAGTTTAACAGAGGCTGGGGGCCAATCACTCAACTTCGACTATATATTATATCTCAAAAAATTATATTTGACAAATTTTCCGGTGAGGGACTCACGCTAGAGCTTTTTTTGGCAGCACGATGCCTAATTGGGAGAACGAACTACAAGATATTCCATCAAACCTTATTGTGCAATTTACACATTTTTTTTTATGCGGAACAACTTTGTGACATGTTCGATAACTAGACCAAAGACATTGCGAAGCCTTATAAAAAAAAATAAGTTTAAGGGTCTTTGGGTTCCTAATGGGTCTATGAAGCCTGTAACTCATAATGCAACGAGATCGATACTTGCAACTGCCAATGTCAGTCGTGGGAGAGGTCATGTAAACCTTAGCCACCAGATGCCATAGATTTATTCTTCTGCTTAACGACTACGACCGACGGCTGCTTAGACCTACGCAGGACAGGCTGGCAGGCACGCAGGCACGGCGAGGCAGCAGACAGGCAGGCAGGCAGACAGGCACCGGCCAGGCCATTACACGGCAGGGTAGGTAGTTAGAGTAGGTAACTGGGCAGAGTTCCCCACAGACTGGCTGGGGGAACGCCGGTCCCTTTTTCAAGTGTTCCAATCCAACTTCTTCAGCCAGGTCGTCTGCTGGCCCAATCAGTACCGCCAACCATTACTCCAGTAGACGAAAAAATAAAGACTCGAAGCTCTGTCACAGCAAAATGAGCGATACGCTCAGCTGGTTTTCGATACAAAATACACACGGGAGGAGAGGATGGCGATTGAATGGACAAGCCTGTTGGATTACTACTCTGTGGCACTTGTACTTACCGTAGATTGGACCACTCCACGCGCTACTCGAAAATTAATGCCATCGGTGGTAATAGGTGTGACCTCCGCAGAGGAAGCAAGGGTAAACATAAATTACAACTGGATGGTAATTAAATAGATTCCGGGACAATCCATCTTCTGCACCAGAGCAGAAGTGGCCCCCAATAAGGAGTTGGATGGTGACACGGGAGGAAAGATTCTCTTCTAGACCATTCGAGGAAACAGTGAGAATGTAGAAAACGTAGCGGCGTGACAACGCTCAGACAGAGGAGAGAGGAGCAGATAGAGACGGACGAGAGAGAGACGAGAGAGAGAGAGAGAGAGAGAAGCGCGCGAAAGAGGAAAGAGAGAAAGAGAGAGAGAGAGCAAGAGAGAGAGCGAGACGCCTCGGCGCGAAGAGAGAGAGACCAAGAGAGAGGACAGAGGGTGAGGGAACGAGAGAGAGAAGAATAAGCGAGAGAGAAAGAAGGAGAAAGAGAGAGGGATGGGGAGGAAAGAGAGAGAGGAGATAGAGGAGAGGACAGGAGAGAGAGAGAAAGAAAAAGAGAGGAGACGTAGAGGGCGAGAGAGACGGAGAGAAGAGAGAGAGAGAGAGAGGAGAGAGAGAGAGGAGAGAGAGGAGGAGAGAGAGCGAGAGAGCAGCGCAGATGAGAGAGAGAGAGAGAGAGAGAGAGAGAGAGAGAGAGAGAGAGAGAGAGAGAGAGAGAGAGAGAGAGAGAGTTCATAGAGCCCCAAATCAATCATGCAGATTCCTACCTACCTATAGGCGTGCGTGCTCGCGTGCGTGTGCGTGCCCGCGTGCCTGCGTGTGTACGCGTGCTTGCGGCGCGCGCGTGTGCCTGCGTGTGTGCTTTGGTACATGGCTGCGTGTGTGTGCCTACGTGTGTGCGTGTGCGTGCGGTAACCACAGCTAAAAAGTATTCAATCAATATAATTTGAGACAAACTCTATCTGACTTTGCGCTAAATGGAAACCGAGCTACACTCGCTTGCACACGAACGTCTAACACTTTCCCCCGTACAAAGGTTGGTTTCCGCACCGGCTATTAAACCGCAGCGATTATCTATCTATATAACTGGGACGTACTATATAGCAGCTCTATCGTACAGCTGTAGATACCAAACAACATTGCGGTGCTTTAAACTGCTGGGCGAGTAATCCGCTGGTTACGATTCAATACACTACACATGCCCACACACACACACGCGCGCACACGCACATGCGCAAACGCACACACATACACAAGCACACACATACGCACGCACGCACGCAAACACACACACACACACACACACACACACACACACACACACACACACGTGCTCGCGCGCGCAAGCACTCACGCCAACTTTTCTTTCGCGCGCTCTCTCCTGCTCACTCTCTCTCTCTCTCTCTCTCCCCTCCCCTATCGCTCTCTCCCACTCTTCCCCTCTCTTTCGCTCTCTACCCCCTCTCTCGCACTATCCCCTTCTGTTTCGCTCTCTACCCCTCCCCTCTTGCCCTCTCCCACTCTTCCCCCTCTATTTCGCTCTCTACCCCCCTCTCTCTGCCTTTCTCTCGGGTAAACGGGAGTGAGTGCGCGTGGGCGTGCGTGTGTACAGACGTCATCAGCTCAGTTAAAGACGATAAACGGATTTGTTGTATTATTCTGTTCGTCTCTTCAACATCTAACTACTGACGTCATCGGCATAGGTACCGTAAACACGTCCACTGGTAACCGACTGAGATAGTTATAGGAGAGTAGCTCGATCCCATCAGAAGTAGATGATAGGGGGGAGGGGTCCCTATCATCTACCCTATCATCTA